TTGCTTAAGAAAAAGAGAAATATTTTGTCATACAATCATGTTGTGGAGTCAAAGAATTATTCGACAAGATTAAGCAAAATCTGTTGCACATTATCTGAGAGCGAAATTGATCAGGAAAACCCCAGAACCAAAATCTTCACAAAGTCCGAGAACAAGATGGAAGAGTACAACATAGCCATGAAGAGGATGATGAGGAGTCCTTATGAGTATCATCATGATTTGGGTCTGTTTTTTCTGCTTCTCATTTGGGTTTAACATTCACATTCTATTGCGTTTTCCAAATTTTGTGTGTATCATCATATCAATGCGTGATTAGTTCAATCTTTTTTTTTTTTTTTAATTATTATTCTTTTTAACTTTATGACAACTTTCCAACATAAAGTGATTTTTTTCCCTTCCTTTTACCTTTTGTATATTGGTGGATAGATCTGGATCTACAATGGAAACTTCTACCATGATTTGGGCAGTTTAACTTTAAGCACTAGTGTTAATTGACTTTTTAACTTCTAAAAATACCGCCTTTTCTAACTTTGTTGGGTCATGTTGTTGCACTGCATAATTCATGAATCAACAGTGAGAGATACAAAAGGAAATGTGCCTATTGAGAGATTGTAAAATTTCCTTCTATTTTGCAAATGTACTTGAACAACATTACCTGCAATAACATTCATCTGCATTTTATTTAGGTTAATAAATGCTAGTAGAAATTTGAAGTTGAAAATGAAAATAGTATTACTAATTAACTCTGATAGATTAATTGATATATATTTTTTTCCCCTGTTTTAGGAATGAACTATACCCTTATAAATGATAATTTAATAGTGGGCTCTCAGCCTCAGAAACCTGAAGACATAGATCATCTGAAACAGGAAGAGAATGTGGCATACATTCTAAATTTGCAGCAGGACAAGGATGTCGAATATTGGGGAATCGACCTCCACTCAATAATAAAAAGATGTCGAGAACTCGGAATCCATCACATGAGGAGGCCGGTAATTAAGTTCTTTTTGTTGTTAGCAAGGTCTTGCACCAAGATTTTTGTTTGGCCTTTTAGGGTTTAGCTAGAATATCAAGGAATTCTTGATGTTTTCACAACTTACTATATTTACTGTATTGGTAGGCTAGAGATTTTGATCCAGATTCGTTGCGCAACGGTTTACCTAAAGCTGTTTCATCACTTGAATGGGCCATCGCGGAGGGAAAAGGAAGAGTGTATGTCCATTGCACTGCTGGACTTGGAAGAGCACCAGCTGTTGCCATTGCTTACATGTTCTGGTTTTGTGGAATAAATGTAAGTCTTCAAACCTTTTTGAGGTTTCACTGTGTCGAAAATTGATGGTTTGCTTTTACGTTTGTATTTACTTTTTAGTAATGTCCATGTGCAGCTAAATGCAGCATACGAGACACTAACTTCGAAAAGACCTTGTGGACCAAGTAAAAGAGCAATCCGCGGAGCTACTTATGATCTGGCGAAGAATGATCCTTGGAAGGAGCCTTTTGAGAGTCTCCCGGAATATGCCTTTGAGGACGTATCAGATTGGGAGAGGAAGTTGATCCAAGATCAAGTGCGTTCCCTCCGCGGAACTTGAGCACTTAGGTTAGCACTTGTTTAATGATTCTACTATAGCAGTATGCAGCCTAATCTGAAGGTTCAAAACTGTGCTTCTGAAATATTATTGTATGGCCAATGTGCCAGCAATAGGATGACTTATTTCTAGCAGCACATGTAAGATACGGTGAAAAATGGATCATTTCTTATATTTTAGTTTATTTAGACCAGTTGCTCTGCCTGCAAAATAAAAGAAAAACATATAAATAGTTCCCTATGCCTCAGATTGGAAGTCCTCAAAATGCAATCTAGGGTAATCAGTTCAGGAGATTTTTGGGCTCATTGCATACATTGTTCTTGGATTTTTTTTTTCAGGAAAAAAGTCTACGTTACCAATCAATTTTTCACATTGAAAAGACAGTTCCTTATTTATTTTCCTTTTTTCTCTTATGGAGATTTGGCCGAGTTGAGTAAAGCTATAGTCATTTTTCTTTGCAACTCCAGTCTCTTGAAATGGATCTTTAGACTCCTCACTGTATTTATCTTGCCTTTTTGAGTTTCAAACGTGTGGATACTTGACAGGTTTTTATGCCATAAGCCGTAAGGATTCCAAAACATGATCGAGCAGCTTGGAAGGAGGAATCGCGCTATCAACTGTCACTTTGCTACTCGGGAAAGTTGAGGAATAAACAGCCGGCAGTTATCAAAGGTTGACGGCTTTAAGTCAGCATGCTCACAAGGATATTTAGTTTAGCCACGATCTTGTGTGTGATGATTTACATATGAATAAATGCAGAAGAAGAGGGAGAGAGAAAGGAAGGAGAAAATTTATAAGCATTGTATTCTTTAAAACCTCTGAAACTATGACTTCAAAGGGCAATCACCACATTATTTACTAAACTGGTCAACACTCGATATCTGTTTAGAATGAGCAACATGTGCGTGGAAAAGACGGCTTAAACTTAAAAGATAACCAAGTTCAAGCACTCTGAAACTATGACTTCAAAGGGCAATCACCACATTATTTACTAAACTGGTCAACACTCGATATCTGTTTAGAATGAGCAAAATGTGCGTGGAAAAGACGGCTTAAACTTAAAAGATAACCAAGTTCAAGCAATGTTATTTAGCATCAGTATTAAGACCTATATGTAGGATGATTGTGAGTTATGATGTCGGTCACTAATAAGTCCTTAATCAAGTACAAGGGCATTACGTCTAAAACTAGTAGAAAATGGGAATCTCTTCACTATAAGAAATTTCTTTCGTATTAAAATGATTCTTTGTTTATAAAGGCACATTCTCTACTTTCTTCCAAATACATGAACAATGGCGATTACAAGGAATAACAAAACAATGCGATTTTAGATTTTACAATTTCTGCCATTGGTAAGCCAAAGTAGAATCCAATTGCCCTGACCAAGCTCCACGACAAGGGCATTTCCCGTTTTGAAAACCAACCTGCTCTTTCTGCCCCCAATAATAAATATATGCATTTCCAGATTACCTACAGAATGGTTGTATTATTAAGAGCTTCTCAACTCAATAACATGATTTTTAATCAGGAATACGTAATCTAATGTGCATCAGAAGATCTCATGATGGAGGGGAAACGGACTTGAGCTTTACTAGTTGGGCTTGGCGGCGTCCTAAATGGAATGCTGTCACTATCCACAATAGACAGACCTGGCAAAAGGGCCACACAAATGCTTTGAGAATAATAGCCAATGTTGAACAAAAAATGTAGAAGACAACAAAATTTGGTACAGGTAAGAAAAACGGAATCAAGTTATGGCAATAGGTAGAAGCTGAGATAAAAGGACACAAAATACTCGCACATACAGGGACGGCATAGAGGGAGACGGTTGATGTTCTCCCATTGATAGTGCTGAAAAGTAGCTTGTACATTCCTACAAGTCTTTGAACAACTACATCTATGCATACCTGGATATTATATTAAATCAAGAGAAATGGTATGAATGTCTATGACAATTGATAAATACTCAAGAATATAGATATTAATACTAAATAGCCATACCTTGGCTTTGTATTTCTCATCCTGTGAGACAACAGTAAACAGAAGTTCTCTTCCTGGTCTGGTCACAACGTAAGTAACAACCTACTCCATAATTAAGAAGCAAAAACAGTAAGATATTTGGGTGCTGATTTTGTTCATCTTTCTCAAACTCCAAAATATACTTGGCATGTAATATAAAAGTATGCAGACACTTTTTGGGGTAAGAAATACGTAATGAAAACGGGTAGTGATTCACATGCAAACATTACCATTTGAAAATCTACCCCGAAAAAAGAGTGACTGCTAGATTAGACAAATAGAAATTCGCGGTGTGAAAGGCCAATGCATAAATGGGCAGTTATAAGAGACAGACCTTCCGCAGGGTCTCGCAGACAGCAATAGCTATCCAATTTGGCCAAACAGTAATAGTAACCATGTTTAGAAAGGCAACAAATGGAGCAGCACAGATAGCTATAGTAACCCCAGCAACGGTGAGAATACGACCCTGCATTTGGGAAGTCAGAACAGTTTCCATATCTTTGCCATAGAAAACCCAACTTACATTTGACATATTGCACAAACTTCAGTTAAGAATAGCATACTGTTATGGTAAGTTGTCCAGCAAGGATAAAGAGAGCAATAAAACTGTTGATCTCAGCAAACAACTTTCTTCTTCCAAGAGAGCTAGAAACGGTTGTAGCAATTACACTCAATTTCTGCAGTTGCAAAAAAGAAAGAAAAGATCCACAGAACAAGATTTTATACAATCATAAGGAAAAATCTCAAAGAAAAAGAATCCAGAAGTAAAGAAACACAAAGGAGAAGAGAAGCGATGTCAATGGGTGAAGCTAAACACGGGAAGCAACGAAACATAATGAAGACTCGAGCCAATGACAATTTGTTACACCATTTGCTAAACGTAATCATCAGTGTATTGACTAGATTAAAATAAAATATCATCTTTCGTTGAAAAAGAATGAGATAAAAAAAAAAGGGGGGAAGAAGTGTGACTTGAGATACAGGATTCTTTACCTGAAAGTAAAAGAAGGAAGATACAACCGCACTCAGCCACAGGAACAGAGACACAAACAACAAGTAGGTTGATGACAATATAAGCCAGAAGCCATCTAAGATTGTCCCAAGCTGAGGCTTCACTTCCGAAGTACGTGTTTTGGGAGAAGAACCATTGTGCTTTTTCATGTTCCGTCCATCAGGCTCATTCTGCTGATCAGTTTCAGTTTCTCTGGGAAACAGAGAAAAACAAGTCAATAAAATTCAAGCTCTGGAACTCATGTCACCCCCTCCACCTCGAGAGGAACATGTATATAGCAGCTTCTTCAGTTTGATATCTTTGTCGTATAAAAGTAAGGGAAATTTAAAAATATTCCTTAACTCATGCAAACTACAAATAACAGCTCACCTAATGGGAGATAATTCTTCAGGGAGATGGGATATATCCAGGTTAATGCCTTTTGATAACTGTGCAGCAAATTCCATTAACAAAGCAGCAAATAATAGAAGGACTGCAACAGATCAAACCATGGTTTAAAACAAATCCGAGAGAGAAAGAAGTAGAATGCAGTTTTATATTGCCAAAGACGAAGCAGACTAACATACATGGCCCCAACCAAGCCATTCCTGTGGCAAACAATGACCCAAAGAGCTGGCCAAGCGTGGCACCAGCACCAATGAACCCAAATAATCTTGAACCTGACTGAACACAAAACAAGTATAAGCGTGCACCAAAAGCCTGTACATATCACAGAATATGGTATGGTAGCATACAAACCTCACTGTCCATGACATCAATAACTCTAGCCCAGGTTGAAGAAATCGTAATTAGATTGAGTAGAGCAACCTTCAAATTAGGGGAGAAAAAGACTTAGAACGATTCTAGTTTTGAAAACACCAATTCATATATGAATTTGACGAGACAATTCAAAATAAAAATAAAAATAAAAATAAAAATAAAAATAAAAATAAAAATAAAAATAAAAATAAAAATGTTGACGGTGTTTTTCCGACAACTCGTAATTACCTCTCCGGGAATTCTCACCGTAACACTCACGGGTTAATTAGAGATTAAAGCCATGAAATAATGTAAGGAAGACAAGGATTTATAGTGGTTTGGCAAGGTTTCTTGGCCTAGTCCACTTGTGGATGCACTAATCTTTTCTGAGATTACAAGTTCTTTCCTCCACAATGGAATAGTGTGTAACCCTTTCCTGGGTCCCCTTGGCTCTATTTATAGGCCTTTACATATAATGATCTCATCTGCATTTCCCGAGGGAGCAATCTCCTATCCCGGGATTTAGGGGTGGTGTAGGTGCACTTTCATAATGACAATCTTAGGAAATCAGGCCAACCTCTCCTACCGACTACTTGATTTCCTGGCTGCAACAGTAGCAGATGGCACAATGCATCCTTCCCTGAGTTGACAAGATTGTTGATGGATTTGACTGAACATGCTGCCTCGACGTAATGGCCACCACAAGCCGAGTCATGGTGCTCGACGCTCATCGCCCCGCATGGGCTCTCGACGTCCAAAGGGCACTTTGCTACAGTGGTTCCCTCAACGCCAGCAACAGATTCTCAACGGGGAGTCCTCGGCGCTTGTCGTTCGAGGGAATGGTCGATTCCTCGACCATGGTGTAACAATTACCCCCTAGACCGGGATGTCGCATTGCGACATTCCTGGCTATGCAACGTCAAGAACGCCACGTGGGAACTGCTTTTCTGCAGATAATGGCGGCTGCTTGTCGGTACAGTGCATCATTGCGGTTGGTTCCTCGGGCAGTGGAGTAGTCATGTCGATCGTGTCAACAGTCACGTCTTTACTGCCCTGGTGCCACGCGGCAGTGAGATGATGAGTTGTAGCTGTCGGATCAAGCCCCCCTTCCCTTGCTCTCTCCCCGACCGTTAGATCGTCTCTCCTCGGATCCAACGTTGATGGAGTCGAATCGGATTCTACGGTCGAGATTTGGAGTCCTTTGGGCTCTCTAGGGGCTCCTGAACTTCTTCCTCGGGCGTATATATATACCCCCATGTCATAGTTCTCCGGTCACCAGATTTCTAGAACACCGTTACTCTGCCGGATTTCCATCAGAAGTCTTCGTCTCCGATTCTCTACTTCCGTGCGCTCTCTCCGTGTGTTGCTCATCTTTGTCTCCGAGTTCAGGCCTTCTTCAAAACCGGTAAGTCTCCGTTTCCTTTGCTCTTTTCTTTGTGGGTCTGGTTCCAGCGCCTGCAAATCCAGGTCAGGTCGCGTTGTAAGGAAGGGGGAATGTACTTACTTGGTGCTGCTGGCCATGAGCCTGAGGTTGAGTCCGCACGGTCTGGTCCGTTTGGCCTCGGTTGTTTTGGCCTGAGGCCTTCGAACTTGGTGCTGGGTTCTTCAAACCTACAGCACAGTCCCCTTTCTTTCTTGTTCACTCCCATGGCTGCAAAGCTCGAGTGTCAGGCCCTTGGCTCTAGGGCCTCTGGTCTGAACATACTCTTTATTTCGTCTTCGCCCCGTACTTTTGACCTCTCGACCACTAGGATTTAACTTAGGCCTCTGTTTATTTTTCAGAATATGTCGCCAAAACCAGCTAGAGGTCGAGGGGTCTCCACATCCCGGGTAAGGGACGACCCTGCAGAGATGGCGACAACGAGCTCGTCCTCGGGCGAAAGCGAGGATTCCCTGCTCCGTCAGGTGGAGAACTACCCAGAGGCGTCGACCTCAGCCTCTCAGCCGGATGAGCTAATACTCCTCGACGATGAAGATGTTGGCCTCGAGGTCGGCCCTTCTGAAGGCCGCGGCTATGGGGTGGCGTCGACCAGTAGCCTGACAGGGATGGTCACAGATGTCAACCCGTCGAAGATCAAACCCCAGGCTGCACCGAAGGCCTTCAATGATGCAGGGATCGACCCCCTGTATTTTTACTTGATCATCCCGACCCCCAACGACCGGGCTCACAACCCCCCAGCCAACCACATGACCGTATACACACGCGCCCATAGTTTTGGGCAGACTCTGCCCTTTTACCCCTTCGTAAAGGCCCTTTGTGGCCTTTACAGAATCTCCCCAACTCAGTTGTCACCCAACTGTTGGATGACAAGAAACTCAATGATAATTCTGTGGAGAGAATTTTTGGGACTCGACCTAACCGTCGAGGAATTTTCGTATTGCTATTCCCTCAAGGCTTCCCCAGGCCAAAGAGGGTTCTTCTACTAAGCCTCTCATGCCAAGTCCAAGCCTCCTGCCCCCCTGTGGTGGTCGAGAAGACCTCCAGCTTCAATGGGTGGAAGCCCCAATTCTTCTTTATTGGTGGCAACTTTAATTCCCACCCTCTCGACGGCGAGCGTCTTCTGGGGACACAAATAGTTTCAGCAAATACTGTAGGTCCCTTATTTTTTATATTTTACTTTGATAACGTCGATTCCACCCGTCGAGCTTTCTCATACACGTCGCTTTTTACTGTAGGTGAAGTCATTCCTCGGCCGCAACTCTCCCTCCCTAGTCTGCTGAACGCCTTTGTCACGTCGAGCGTTCAGCTTTGTCCTGAGGTCTCTCCCGCGCGCAGACGAGGATTCTACCGGGACGGCGTTCCTCATGTTCGCGTCTTGCTGCGGTTGAAGGGGCACGTCCTTGTTATTCGCAGGTTGCGCATCAACTTGCTCTAGTGCTCTCCTCCTTGCCGCCCGCTTCCTGCTCCCCACAGATCTGTTCAACCTGGTCGGGCGGGGATCGTTGACTCCACTGTCACCAACCTCCTCGACGTCACCGCGTTGATCACCAATCTCTTGGTTCCTAACAGCGGCGTTCACCGGGTTCATCGGCGCGTCCTCCAGGGGTGGCATCGGATTCTGCCCCTGATCCTGCCGGGCAAGGGCTGTAGCCATCCTTTCCACGGCGAAAACGAGCGTTTCGACCTGCTTTTGAAGCTGATCAATACGGTCGGGGGGGTTTCCAGCGGCCGGTAAGGGTGGATTCGTTGAAGTCCCTGCGACGGTGGGAGTTTGGTCGATTGGGCTTTTCTGGTTGGCCGTCACGCTGCGAGTATTCCTGGGAGGCATGTTTGCTGTTTCCTTTACAACTGGATTAGATTTTTGGGTTCGGGGGCCCTCCTTCTAGCGCCAATTGTTGACGGTGTTTTTCCGACAACTCGTAATTACCTCTCCGGGAATTCTCACCGTAACACTCACGAGTTAATTAGAGATTAAAGCCATGAAATAATGTAAAGAAGACAAGAATTTATAGTGGTTCGGCAAGATTTCTTAGACTAGTCCACTTGTGGATGCACTAACTTTTCTGAGATTACAAGTTCTTTCCTCCACAACGGAATAGTGCGTAACCCTTTCATGGGTCTCCTTGGCTCTATTTATAGGCATTTGCATATAATGATCTCATCTGCATTTCCCAAGAGAGCAATCTCCTATCCCGGGATTTAGGGGTGGTGTAGGTGCACTTTCATGACGACAATTTCAAGAAATCAGGCCAACATCTCCTACCGACTACCTGATTTCCTAGCTGCGACAGTAGCAGATGGCACAGTGCATCCTTCCCTGAGTTGACAAGATTGTTGATGGATTTGACTGAACATGTTGCCTCGACGTAATGGCCACCACAAGCCGAGTCATGGTGCTCGACGCTCATCGCCCTGCATGGGCTCTCGACGTCCAAAGGGCACTTTAGCTATAGTGGTTCCCTCGACGCCAGCGATCGATTCTCAACGGGGAGTCCTCGGCGCTTGTTGTTCGAGGGAATGGTCGTTTTCTCGACCATGGTGTAACAATTACCCCCTAAACTGGGATGTCGCATTGCGACATTCCTGGCTATGCAACGTTGAGAACGCCACGTTGGAACTGCTTTTCTGCAGGTAATGGCGGCTGCTTGTCGGTACAATGCATCATTGCGGTTGGTTCCTCGGGCAGTGGAACAGTCACGTCGATCGTGTCAACAGCACGTCTCTACTGCCCTGGTGCCACGCGGCAGTGAGATGATGAGTTGTAGCCGTCGGATCAAGCCCCCCTTCCCTTGCTCTCTCCCCGACCGTTAGATCGTATCTCCTCGGATCCACCGTCGGATGGAGTCGAATCGGATTCTACAGTCGAGATTTGGAGTCCTTTGGGCTCTTTGGGGGCTCCTGAACTTCTTCCTCGGGCGTATATATATACCCCCATGTCATAGTTCTCCAGTCACCAGATTTTTAGAATGCCGTTATTCTGCCGGATTTCCATCAGAAGTCTTCGTCTCCGACTCTCTGCTTCCGTGTGTTGCTCATCTTTGTCTCCGAGTTCAGGCCTTCTTCAAAACCGGTAAGTCTTCGTTTCCTTTGCTCTTTTTTTTGTGGGTCAGGTTCCAGCGCCTACAAATCCGGGTCAGGTCACGTTGTAAGGAAGGGGGAATGTACTTACTTGGTTCTGCTGGCCATGAGCTTGAGGTTGAGTCCGCGCGGTCTGGTCCGTTTGGCCTCAGTTGTTTTGGCCTGAGGCCTTCGAACTCGGTACTGGGTTCTTCAAACCTACGGCACAGTCCCCTTTCTTTCTTGTTCACTCCCATGGCTACAAAGCTCGAGTGTCAGGCCCTTGGCTCTAGGGCCTATGGTATGAACATACTCTTTATTTCGTCTTCGCGCCGTACTTTTGACCTCTCGACCACTAGGATTTAACTCAGCCTTCTGTTTATTTTTCATAATATGTCGCCAAAACCAGCTAGAGGTCGAGGGGTCTCCACACCCCGGGTAAGGGACGACCCTGCAGAGATGGCGACAACGAGCTCGTCGTCGGGCGAAAGCGAGGATTCCCTGCTCCGTCAGGTGGAGAACTACCCAGAGGCGTCGACCTCAGCCTCTCAGCCGGACGAGCTAATACTCCTCGACGATGAGGATGTTGGCCTCGAGGTCGGCCCTTCTGAAGGCCGCGGCTATGGGGTGGCGTCGACCAGTAGCCTGACAGGGATGGTCACAGATGTCAACCCGTCGAAGATCAAACCCCAAGCTGCACTGAAGGCCTTCAACGATGCAGGGATCGACCCCTTGTATTTTGACTTGATCATCCTGACCCCCAACGACCGAGCTCACAACCCCCCAGCCAACCACGTGACCGTATACACACGCGCCCATAGTTTTGGGCAGACTCTGCCCGTTTACCCCTTCGTAAAGGCCCTTTGTGGCCTTTACAGAATCTCCCCAGCTCAGTTGTCACCCAACTGTTGGATGACAATAAACTCAATGATAATTCTGTGGAGAGAATTTTTGGGACTCGACCTAACCGTCGAGGAATTTTCGTATTGCTATTCCCTCAAGGCTTCCCCAGGCCAAAGAGGGTTTTTCTACTTAGCCTCTCATGCCAAGTCCAAGCCTCATGTCCCCCTGTGGTAGTCGAGAAGACCTCCAGCTCCCATGGGTGGAAGCCCCAATTCTTCTTTATTGGTGGCAACTTTAATTCCCACCCTCTCGATGGCGAGCGTCTTCTGGGGACACAAATAGTATTCAGCAAATACTGTAGGTCCCGTATTTATTATATTTTACTTTGATAACGTCAATTCCACCCGTTGAGCTTTCTCATACACGTCGCTTTTTACTGTAGGTGAAGTCATTCCTCGGCCGCAACTCTCCCTCCCTAGTCTGCTGAACGCCTTTGTCACGTCGAGCGTTCAGCTTTGTCCTGAGGTCTCTCCCGCGCGCAGACGAGGATTCTACCGGGACGGCGTTCCTCTTGTTCGCGTCTTGCTGCGGTCGAAGGGGCACGTCCTTGTTATTCGCAGCTTGCGCAGCAGCCTGCTCTAGTGCTCTCCTCCTTGCCGCCCACCGCCTGCTCCCCACATATCTGTTCGACCTGGTCGGGCGGGGATCGTTGGCTCCACTATCACCGACCTCCTCGGCATCACCGCGTTGATCACCAATCTCTTGGTTCCCAACAGCGGCGTTCACCGGGTTCATCGGCGCGTCCTCTAGGGGTGGCATTGGATTCTGCCCATGATCCCGCCCGGCAAGGGCTGTAGCCATCCTTTCCACGGCGGCAGCGAGCGTTTCGACCTGCTTTTGAAGCTGGTCAATACGGTCGGGGGGATTTCCAGCGGCCAGTAAGGGTGGATTCGTTGAAGTCCCTGCAACGGTGGGAGTTTGGTCGATTGGGCTTTTCTGGTTGGCCGTCACGCCGCGAGTATTCCTGGGAGGCATATTTGCTGTTTCCTTTATAGTGGTTCGGCAAGGTTTCTTGGCCTAATCCACTTGTGGATGCACTAACTTTTCTGAGATTACAAGTTCTTTCCTCCACAATGGAATAGTGCGTAACCCTTTCATGGGTCCCCTTGGCTCTATTTATAGGCCTTTACATATAATGAACTCATCTGCATTTCCCGAGAGAGCAATGTCCTATCCCGGGATTTAGGGGTGGTGTAGGTGCACTTTCATGATGACAATCTCAGGAAATCAGGCTAACCTCTCCTTCCGACTACCTGATTTCCTGGCTGCGACAGTAGCAGATGGCACAGTGCATCCTTCCTTGAGTTGACAAGATTGTTGATGGATTTGACTGAACATGCTGCCTCGACATAATGGCCACCACAAGCCGAGTCATGGTGCTCGACGCTCATCGCCCCGCATGGGCTCTCAACGTCCAAAGGGCACTTTAGCTACAGTGGTTCCCTCGACGCCAGCGACCGATTCTCAACGGAGAGTCCTCAGCGCTTATCGTTCGAGGGAATGGTCGATTCCTCGACCATGATGTAACAAAAAATAATAATAATAATAATAATAATAATAATAATAATAATAATAATAATAATAATAATAATAAAACGTAAAAGCGAAAATGGAATCTATATACCCAAAGAAACAATCCAATTCTGACAGAGACATAAAACCATCCATGGTTCTCCCATCCCACTGACTGTGTAGGATCGGCTTGGTTAACTTCAACTCTTTGGTTCACTTCTGAGCTGGCATTCTAGATATTAACAAACGAGCAATTCAGTAGAAGATGAAAAATAGATTCAGTTTTTGGAACTAAGCCAAAATAAAAAACAACTGTCTCATGAGACCTCGTCTTACCTTCAACGTTGATGGTGAAAAACCAACTGATGAGGAATACCATAGAAAGAAAAATACAACAAGTGATACACTGAAAAACCTGTGTATCAAAACCAAAGCCTGGAATTTCAAGAAGCAACTATCACGGGGAGATAAGCACATAAATGTAAATTGAATACAATAAAACTAGCTATTTCCCATGAAGTTAACATTAATGTAAATACTATATGAGGCGAACTATCCTATCCTCACCCCTAAAACTAAAAATTCAAACTGCCTACTAGGTCCAACCATTTTTCTGGTTAACTCATCCTCAAATCCTGATTCTTATGTAGATTGTTTTATGTCATTGATTGAATAATGTGCGTAAGAGCATCTCTAATACAATGCCACTTCTATGCCACTATCAAAATTTTGGCATTTGATTGCCTATCGACTCATGGCTTGACTTCTCACCTAACAGTTACAACATTATCATTTTAAAAAAAAAAAATTATTCTTTTATAAGTTCCAAATTGTAAAAGATATGACAAAAGATTTAAAGTAGCATTATTCATTTGAGAGCAAAATAGGAAAACCAAAAAAAACAGCAAATATGCTATTTCTTTTACTTTTGTGTGCCAATATAAAATTGATATTAACAATTGCACTGAGATGGTCTAACAGTGCAAAGAAAAATGGAGCTCCATATAACACAACAAAATAAAACTAATACATCAAAAATCCCATTTTTATACTATTTTTGTGCGAAATATAACATCACAATTCACAATAGCATTTGCATTGAGATGGTGCCAAACAAAAATGGAAAATTCTTGCATTTCCGAAAAATCATTTCCCCAAAAAATCCATAAACAGGCAAAAATGAAATGAATTTCCATGCTTTTAAAGGTGAGCGGGAAATCAATGGATGACTAATTACCTTGCCTTTAGAAAGGTTAGGCATTGAGAAAACGAGAGTTGAAAGTGGGGCAGCGATCAGAGTGAGAGCCAAAGACCCCATGAAAAGATCTGGAAGGTTCGATAAGCCCAGCGATATGGCGCCCTCGTCGCGCAAGGGAAGAACCACGAAGTACGCGCTCAAAATCTGCCATGAAAGATCGAGAATTGTGGCAAAATTACTGAAACCCAGTTCAGAAGAACAAGGATAAATTCACGATTGTCGGATGGGGCTTACGAAGAAGAAGCAGGAGGAGGAGTGGACCAGAGCAGAGGTCTCGTGAGGATGCACCGTAACGAACATGGAGACCACCGCATCTAACCGAGACCTACTGACTATGCTCACCATCTTCTTCTTCGAAAAGTGATGGATTTGAATTGATTGCGCTTTTGCCTCCGTTTCAAGTTTTCAATGAAAATGTTCGTTTCCACCCACCAAAAAAAAAACAGGGGGAGAAGAAATAACAAAAACGTGCACACGCATACACACGGTCACAGGTGGGACCCAAAGCCCAGATAGTCAACCTTTTAGTGGGGTGGGCTTAGCCTATACCGGCTCTCTCAGGCCCAACTTTTTGAAACACACGTGCCATGGGAACCACTCACCCAGTCCCAGCTAAGTAGATTTTTTAAGGTTATTTATTATTTAAAATTTTAATTTGAGTTAAAAAATTTTTATTATAATTAAAAAATTAAATGTGATTATTTTTTAAAAAAATTTATTATAAAAAAACTCTAATTTTAAGATGTATTTAGTAAAGAGATTCGTAATTTAAATTATAATTTATAATTTATTATAATATTTTTTTTATAAAAAATACGCAAAAATTAAAAATAATTTTAATCTCAGTTCTAATCAATTCATCAACGTCTCCTCAACTCGATTACTTTGACTATGAGGAATGACAGTAGTGGTGTACTGTTGCGTAGTAGTAGTCGTGGTAAGTAAGCGTGTCGTTCGATGACTAGTATTTTTAGCAGAGGGTGCTCTCGATTGCTGAGAACAACGGCTCTGGACTCCACGCAACTCCCAACAAACCATCTCAGAAGAAGACTCGTGAGCAGTCATCGTTTTCTCAGAGCTTCCATGGATGCTTCTTCTAGGGCATCATCAGGCGGAGTGGTGCGCTTCCCTCTGTCGTCCACCTCTTCTCTCGTCATCCAGAGAGGAGACATCACCAAGTGGTTCGTCGACGGCTCCACCGACGCCATAGTCAGTACCTCCTCTCTTTTCCTTTTCCCCTTCTTAATTTCATCGCACATCGGCGATTTTCCAGATTATTGGATTTTGGCTTAGTTTCTGCTCTCTTAGCTCTCTGTTTGTTTGCCGAGAAATGCTAGGAAAATAGAAGGTCGCTAAAGAGTTGGTATTTCTATGGTTTTCGAGTCTTCGGGAGGAAATCCCTTACTTGATAAGCGTGTTAAAGTCATTTTGAACTGCTTTATACCTTTTTGGAAATAGTGCATGTAATGTGTTAGACCTATTTACCTTTAACAATAAACAGATAGAAAACATAATCTTGAAAATCACTCTTATATGTTGTTATCTTTTGTAAATCAAAAGATATTTATAGCTATTGTTAACCTTAATTTTGCGGTACATATTATTGTACTTGTCGAGGAAAAGGTAATAGGGATCCTTTATCTGTACTCCGATTTGGCATTTCGATAATGGAATATTTTCGGCGGATAGGTTAATCCGGCAAATGAGCGAATGCTTGGAGGTGGCGGCGCAGACGGAGGTAATTTCACCATAATTTTCTTACTGCAAATTAAAATTATATATGAACTTAATATAGCTTTTGGTGAATTTAATATCTTTTTATTTGTTCTAGCCATACACAGGGCTGCTGGACCAGATCTTCTGCAAGCATGTTATGGTGTTCCAGAAGTTAGTCCCGGAGTTCGCTGCCCCACCGGAGAAGCTAGGATTACCCCGTAAACAAACATCTTTTACTCCTCTTCTTTTGCTCCTAATTTATGCTATTATTTTGTGTTTTTGTCCTAAAGCAGATGTTATAATATTAACATGTTGTAGTAAACTTGCACAGAGGTTTTAGGTTGCCCGTTGCTCATGTGGTTTTCACCGTTGGACCCATCTACAATGGAAGGAGTACTGCTGAAGCCGCTCTGAGAAACACGTACAGGTAGGAATGGCGTTTATTGCTTTTACTGGTTTTCTATTAGGTAAATCTTTGGCTCCTAAATGAATCCATGTTTTTTGTGCACAATTTGATTACAGAAACAGCTTGAAGATTGCCAAGGAGAACAACATCCAATATATTGCATTTCCAGCCATATCTTGTGGTGTCTATGGGTAAGTTTCATGCAATCAACAACAGCTACATATGACAAGGAATTATAATAAAAGTAAAACAGAATCGATTTCGGATCGTACAATCTACAACTAGCTCGTTTAAGTATTTGCTTAAAGTGAATATGTTAATTCACCGTGTCTTCCGATTGTTGATTGTACTTTCAGATACCCCTATGATGAAGCTTCCACAGTAGCTATATCGACTATTAAAGAGTTTGCAAATGGCATTAAAGAGGTATTTTCTTTTTGTATGTTGGTTTCTTGATATGAGCCTCATTAAGGACATTTATTTGGATTTCTCTTGATAGTCTAATTCTACAGTGTCAGTCTTGTTCTTAAAACAAACACAGAAATTGAATAAAGTGATTCATCTCCGATGAGCGGTAGAAATCTTTTTGAAAGTTAAAAGAGTTTATATGATGCTGTTCGCAGGTGCACTTCGTTCTTTTCCAAGAAGACATCTATAGTGTTTGGTTGAACAAGGCAAATGAATTGCTCCAGGCTTGATATGCCTCATCATCTGCTAGTTCGCAAATATATTGAACGTCCTATTAGTGTGTGTTTGTATGTATGCAGAACTGTTCATGTATCGAATCAGAAGCCTATGAAAATCAAATGTGGAACTAGTTGATGAAGCATAAGATGTCTTTCAGCTACCAACGTTGTTTGAGTCGGAGTTTCTGCCAAGTTTTTCCTTCCTGTGGATCAAGTGATGTCTTATAACTTTGTTTGAATTATATACAACCGTTTGTAAAACCTTCTTGTGATATGCTTGACGTGAAAAGTTTACGATGCTTTTGGTATGTGATACAAATTAAGAATGAGTGCTTGTTGTTTCGTCCACGTGTTAGCCGACATCATGGTGATATTATAACGAGCTTAAATCCTCAAATCCTCACCCGTCTATTGGATTTGTTCTCGGTAGTAACCTGATGAAAGGAACCTTTCCTCTCAACCGCTGTATAGAAATGGTACATTCCGAGATGTGAAATGGGAGAGAAGGGATCTAATAATTATGGTAACAAAAAGAATTGAGCTAAAAACACTTCTTTAATTTACTTACTGTGGAATACATGATATGTAGACAACGACAAGGTAACCTCCGTTGGGGAAAAATTACTTCTTTAAAATCTCATGGTTTTGGATCAAGTCATAGCCATCGCTACTTCTGAGTAACAAACCCCTTAATCGCGTTTGTAACCGCTTGATCTTAACGATGGTTTGCAAATAGCACTGACGAGGCATTTCTATTGCAGAATAGAAAATAATCCAATAGTATAAGCAGGCAAGAGAAGATGTCCAGATGACATCTCAATTATCAAACTCTGCCGCTGCACAGCTCTATAATGCATCTAAATGATAAGAACTATGAATCTTTATCCTTGGACAAATTGCGTGGCAGTCTGCTGAAGACACTCTCATCCACTATTTTGTAGTGCTTAGAGAACTGTTTTTGGATCATCCCATAATACCTATCCACAGGTTCATCATATTTGTTGTACAAGGACGGTATTGTGATCAATAAGATGGTTCCTGTCGCCATTAAAATAGGCAAAAATATAAATTTTAGTATCGAACCCAAATGGGAATGTTAAGAAAATCAATTTCATCAACAAAAAAAAAATCAATTTCAAATGGGAAAACATAAACAGGAAGAACATACATAATGTCGCCACACATATATTCAGATGAAAGTCAATGGAAAGGATGATATGCATGCCAAGATAAAAAATTCGAAAGAAAGAGAAGAAGCTGCCAATGACTGACAAGAGCCACAAATAGACCACCACCTGTGCAAAGAAAAAAAGAAAAAAGAAAAAAAAAAGTAAGATACTTTTGCCACACCTGAACCATAGGCCTAATTCCCAATGAAGATAAAATTCTAATGGGAGCAAAACGTTAGATTATAGATCTGAAAGAGATATATCTGATTACTTCACTAGTCATGCAGGGATTTAGTCTCACTATATAGTTGTTATTTGATACCAGCCACAAAAACAAAACATAGCAAAGCTCCCACTCAAACTAGGTAACTTCTAAACTGCAAAACCAAAATTATCTGGGACAGTTTCTTAAGCACAAGCTCATTTGGTTCATGTTCAAATTGAATTTTATGAATTTAAATTAGTCGAAAGTAGAGGGCACTAGAATACTCGTTCCCTCTTATTCAAAAACACTAAATAAATCAGATCCATTACTACAAAGTAAAGGTAGAAAAGGAGAATATCTTGTTCCACCGCATCAAGATGTTGTTTTCCCTTCTAATACCCATTTCAATTTCTCCTCTTCCACACTTCAACACTCTCTCACACATACTACCAAATGCATTTTTGCATCCTAAATCTACTTTCCAAGTACTCAGTTTTCAGATGGGAAACCAAATGACCTAAATATTTCATCGACTCAAACGGTTAGACGCACCAGGCAAGTAATAGTGGTAGACTGATCCCTCGGGCAATAGCATAACAGGGAGATGCTTCCAAGACTTTTAGAGTGTGTTCGGGAGGGAGGAAAAGTGGAAGAAACCCCGGGAAGATTAATGGAAGTATTTTAGGACCATTAGTTGCTGGTAAGAAGGATCAGAGGAGGGAATGGATTGGCTAAGGGATTCAAAATCCTGCAAAGAACTCTATTTTGATCCTCGATTTCAAGTACTTAATCAGGCTATAGTTTCAAATTACTTTATTATCGTCTTTTTTTTTCTTTTTGGAGTAACTACCCATTGTTATTGACAGAAACCGAACCAACTAAATGGGTAAAAAAAAGGAATTGTGCAAATAATTTTTCTTCCCTACTCTTGATTTTCTATATGGAAAAGGGGAAGCTTTTTCTATTTCTTATCTTCCATGTTAACCAAACACCCTAAGAAAAAGGATCTCTCTTCCTTTCTATGTCCTTCACCTAGGTTATCTACCTCTTCTTCCTTCCTATTGTATATCCCTCCGACCAAACAAGGCCTTAGAAGTAGTATATGTAATAGTAATACAAACATAGATAGACCTTGAAGAAAAGTCTAAAATCCTTGCCGAGAGCGATATCATGAGCCATAAGCAGCACATTGTTGATTTTCACACGAAACGATGCTGCGGCATTGTTAACCATTTCCTCTGACAGTTCTAGCTCCGGCAATGAGTGTAGTTGTCTATTCAAAGAAAGAAAACACAATTAGAAATTCATGGTAAAACGACCAAATTGTGAACAACAATTAGTAGAGATAAAAAAAGGTTGAATATCCATACTTGTTTCTAAAAGCAGAGTAGTTAGCACGAAGAAATAATAGGACGACCAAAATCAGCAAAACGTCTGAACAGATCGTTAAGAACGATAATCCAGATCGCTCGAAAAGAATCCAAGCAACAGTGGAAACAACAATGACACCAAAAGAAACATGTCACCTCTTCCATAACAAGACATCAGCAGCTAAAATGAAAGAGATTGAGAGATAAAGGATAAGTAAAATAAGAATGAAATGCGTGGTACATAAAATAACGGGGCCTAAGAGTACTTTGAGAGTTTCACACTTGTAATTTGGTTGTTCCAATTTTATTTATATAGAGGGTGCCATTTTTCAAAGTAACGAGAGAGGTTGGAGAAAACATAGATCACTATTGCTATTGTCTCTTATAATTTTCATCAAAGTAAGTTGTAGTAGTGCTTGAAACTTGAAAATGGACGTAGCTCTCAGGTGAACCACTAATGTTGTGTGTTCTTGTTAAAATCCATTTCTTTAGTCATCCTCTTATTACTCTTGGTCTTGGCTAAAGAATTAGCACGACTAATTCTTAAGACCGAGTTCGAGCCACACTAAAAGGACCCGACTTTTCGACCAATGAAGGTCAAATGATTAACCTTGGAATTCAATCATTTGAGACAACATTAATCCGCATAACCGTAGCTATGTATGAGATTATGCAACAACACAAACATTCAATTGTATTGATTTATCACCTGAGATAATATGTAATAATTGAAACAAATAATTGCATTGACCACAGAATTAAGCTTTCAAAACCAATTAATACATATATAAATCCCAAATTACCCAAAAGAACATTAAGGGACAGAAAACCCACAAACCCAGAAATCAGGAAAGCCTGTAATAATAAGGGAAAAAAAAAGTAAGGATCTGTTGTTACCTATTCCAGAACCCATTGAAGAAGAAGTGTTATTGGTGGCCTTTCTTCCATCGCCATCTCCTTCCGTGTTGATGTTGTTCTTGTCTTGTGAATTTTCCATCAAACGACAACACCCACTAACAGCAAATCCAGCTTTCGATACTGTGCCACTAGTTTCCAAAACTTTTGGGTCCGAGATTGTTTGGGAAATTGAAATAGGCAACTTTTTGTTACGTGATCAAACAGAGTTCAAAGTTGTTAGGATCTGGATTGTTCAAAAGGGTTTGTACCCAAAAGTGTTTTCTAGGAAAGGATACGTGTATTCGAAAGATAAGAACGACAGCTTATCAGTTGTCAGAAACTCAATATTTAGGAAAGTGGGGGGAGAATAATATTAAGAACACTAATTTAAATTTAAATTTTTTTTATTAACTGATGTAGAAGTTGAATTGTTATTTTTTTTATTAATAGGTATATAAAATATTATCACGTTAATTAATGAAAGAAATTATATTTATTAATAAAAAATAATAATTTATACACATTAATTGATACATAAAAGTTAAAATTTGAATTGATACCTCTAGTTAGTGCTGGAACTTCGGGTCGGCGGGCCGCCCGAAGCCTGAATTTTTTCGGGCTCGGGCGGGCCGGCCTAATTCCCGCACGTCCAAGCAAGAAATTAGGGTTCGGGCTCGGGCAGCCCGGATTTGACATGTCCACCCTTGCCTGCCGCCGTCTAACCACCGTATACCGCCGTCCGCCGGGATTTTTTTGCATTTTTCCGACCAAGCCCGAACTGCCCGACCCGAAAATTGCCCAAAAATTGGGTGTGCCCGAATTGCCCGACCTGAAGCCCGAATTTTGAATTTTGCCCGAATTTTTCCCGCTTGCCCGACTTGCCCGACCCGCCCGAGGTGCCCGAATTACCCGAATACCCGAAAACGGCTAGTTTTTTGAATTTTTACCTGAATTCGGCCCGAAAACCCGAGTTGCCCGAGTTGCCCGAACTGCCTGAAATGCCCGAATTGCCCGATTTGCCCCCCGACTGCCCGAACCCGAATTTAAAAAAACTAGCCGTTTTATCCCGTTTTTTTTTGAAAAAAAATCATTTTTTAACCCCAAAATTTCCCTATAAATACCCCCCATCCCTCACACATTTTTCTCACTCAAACTCTCTCAATCCCTCTCAATCTCTCTCAATTTCTCTCAATCTCTCTCAATCTCTTTCAATTTCTCTCAATCCCTCTCAATCTCTCTCAATTTCTCTCAATCTCTCTCAATCTCTTTCAAGTTCTCTCAATCTCTCTCATAATTTTTCTAAAGCTCTCTCTCTAGTGTCTATCAAATTCATCTTATTTTTTTATAATGGATCCTTTTGGTTATAGTGGTATTCCCGTTGATGCCCAACACAATGTAGAAGAAGGGCAATTTCCCACTAATGAGTTTGTTACGCAGCAAATGCAATCTACTAATCCAAGCAAAGTAAGATACTTTTGCCACACCTGAACCATAGGCCTAATTCCCAATGAAGATAAAATTCTAATGGGAGCAAAACGTTAGATTATAGATCTGAAAGAGATATATCTGATTACTTCACTAGTCATGCAGGGATTTAGTCTCACTATATAGTTGTTATTTGATACCAGCCACAAAAACAAAACATAGCAAAGCTCCCACTCAAACTAGGTAACTTCTAAACTGCAAAACCAAAATTATCTGGGACAGTTTCTTAAGCACAAGCTCATTTGGTTCATGTTCAAATTGAATTTTATGAATTTAAATTAGTCGAAAGTAGAGGGCACTAGAATACTCGTTCCCTCTTATTCAAAAACACTAAATAAATCAGATCCATTACTACAAAGTAAAGGTAGAAAAGGAGAATATCTTGTTCCACCGCATCAAGATGTTGTTTTCCCTTCTAATACCCATTTCAATTTCTCCTCTTCCACACTTCAACACTCTCTCACACATACTACCAAATGCATTTTTGCATCCTAAATCTACTTTCCAAGTACTCAGTTTTCAGATGGGAAACCAAATGACCTAAATATTTCATCGACTCAAACGGTTAGACGCACCAGGCAAGTAATAGTGGTAGACTGATCCCTCGGGCAATAGCATAACAGGGAGATGCTTCCAAGACTTTTAGAGTGTGTTCGGGAGGGAGGAAAAGTGGAAGAAACCCCGGGAAGATTAATGGAAGTATTTTAGGACCATTAGTTGCTGGTAAGAAGGATCAGAGGAGGGAATGGATTGGCTAAGGGATTCAAAATCCTGCAAAGAACTCTATTTTGATCCTCGATTTCGAGTACTTAATCAGGCTATAGTTTCAAATTACTTTATTATCGTCTTTTTTTTTCTTTTTGGAGTAACTACCCATTGTTATTGACGGAAACCGAACCAACTAAATGGGTAAAAAAAAGGAATTGTGCAAATAATTTTTCTTCCCTACTCTTGATTTTCTATATGGAAAAGGGGAAGCTTTTTCTATTTCTTATCTTCCATTTTAACCAAACACCCTAAGAAAAAGGATCTCTCTTCCTTTCTATGTCCTTCACCTAGGTTATCTACCTCTTCTTCCTTCCAATTGTATATCCCTCCAACCAAACAAGGCCTTAGAAGTAGTATATGTAATAGTAATACAAACATAGATAGACCTTGAAGAAAAAGTCTAAAATCCTTGCCGAGAGCGATATCATGAGCCATAAGCAGCACATTGTTGATTTTCACACGAAACGATGCTGCGACATTGTTAACCATTTCCTCTGACAGTTCTAGCTCCGGCAATGAGTGTAGTTGTCTATTCAAAGAAAGAAAACACAATTAGAAATTCATGGTAAAACGACCAAATTGTGAACAACAATTAGTAGAGATAAAAAAAGGTTGAATATCCATACTTGTTTCTAAAAGCAGAGTAGTTAGCACGAAGAAATAATAGGACGACCAAAATCAGCAAAACGTCTGAACAGATCGTTAAGAACGATAATCCAGATCGCTCGAAAAGAATCCAAGCAACAGTGGAAACAACAATGACACCAAAAGAAACATGTCACCTCTTCCATAACAAGACATCAGCAGCTAAAATGAAAGAGATTGAGAGATAAAGGATAAGTAAAATAAGAATGAAATGCGTGGTACATAAAATAACGGGGCCTAAGAGTACTTTGAGAGTTTCACACTTGTAATTTGGTTGTTCCAATTTTATAGAGAGGGTGTTGCCATTTTTCAAAGTAACGAGAGAGGTTGGAGAAAACATAGATCACTATTGCTATTTTCTCTTATAATTTTCATCAAAGTAAGTTGTAGTAGTGCTTGAAACTTGAAAATGGACGTAGCTCTCAGGTGAGCCACTAACGTTGTGTGTTCTTGTTAAAATCCATTTCTTTAGTCATCCTCTTATTACTCTTGGTCTTGGCTAAAGAATTAGCACGACTAATTCTTAAGACCGAGTTCGAGCCACACTAAAAGGACCCGACTTTTCGACCAATGAAGGTCAAATGATTAACCTTGGAATTCAATCATTTGAGACAACATTAATCCGCATAACCGTAGCTATGTATGAGATTATGCAACAACACAAACATTCAATTGTATTGATTTATCACCTGAGATAATATGTAATAATTGAAACAAATAATTGCATTGACCACAGAATTAAGCTTTCAAAACCAATTAATACATATATAAATCCCAAATTACCCAAAAGAACATTAAGGGACAGAAAACCCACAAACCCAGAAATCAGGAAAGCCTGTAATAATAAGGGAAAAAAAAAGTAAGGATCTGTTGTTACCTATTCCAGAACCCATTGAAGAAGAAGTGTTATTGGTGGCCTTTCTTCCATCGCCATCTCCTTCCGTGTTGATGTTGTTCTTGTCTTGTGAATTTTCCATCAAACGACAACACCCACTGACAGCAAATCCAGCTTTCGATACTGTGCCACTAGTTTCCAAAACTTTTGGGTCCGAGATTGTTTGGGAAATTGAAATGGGCAACTTTTGTTACGTGATCGAACAGAGTTCAAAGTTGTTGGGATCTGGATTGTTCAAAAGGGTTTGTACCCAAAAGTGTTTTCTAGGAAAGGATACGTGTATTCGAAAGATAAGAACGACAGCTTATCAGTTGTCAGAAACTCAATAATTAGGAAAGTGGGGGGAGAATAATATTAAGAACACTAATTTAAATTTAAATTTTTTTTATTTAAGTAACAGTTGAATTGTTATTTTTTTATTAGTAGGTATATAAAATATTATTACGTTAATTAATAAAAGAAATTATATTTATTAATAAAAAATAATAATTTATACTCATTAATAAA